TGAAACTTAATGTACTAATGCCTCTGGGAGAAGTTCATATTGTAAGTATGCATCAGTAGTAGGCAGTGTTTAAGATCTAAGTTCCAGAGCAATGTGTTAAGACCCCTCAAGCGCTGTCCAAGTTCAGTTCTCAACCAATTAAAGGGGAATCAGGAGGGGGTTGGCCGCTGATGGAGAGACACACAGCGATGGGAGCACAAAGCAAAAGAAGGTAGGCCTATAATTACAGAATGAAACTTAATGTACTGATGCCTCTGGGAGAAGTTCATATTGTAAGTATGCATCAGTAGAAGGCAGTGTTTAAGATCTAAGTTCCAGAGCACTGTGTTAAGACCCCTCAAGCGCTGTCCAAGTTCAGTTCTCAACCAATTAAAGGGGAATCAGGAGGGGGTTGGCCGCTGATGGAGAGACACACAGCGATGGGAGCACAAAGCTTGCTTTGTCTTCCATACACACAAGTAATTTGGATGTTTTCAGAGGACTTTGGAGAGAAATGCACATGCACCACAGTGGTGATTAGAGCAGCAAACACTTGCAATAGATTATATAATAACCACCTCTAACACAAAGGGACCAATTTTGCCTTGAAAAAGAGGTCTGTTCAACATCATAATGGCAGAGAGATCCAGAGGAACGAGACAGATAGGATGAAGTTTTGGGGAGCGCAAGGACACGCAGATATGATTATCAGAAATTGCTCCAAACTTTTCCACCCAAATGGAAGTACAGTAGTATAACTTGTCAAAATTCTCAGATCATACCTGAAAGCTGTGGTCAGCCCTCTGGAAAAATTGTTTAGAGGTTTGTATGATGCAACAGCATGTAAATCTGTCTATTTCTATGCTAAATAACAACAGGCTTATGAATCGTTCATGCAAAAATAATGTCCATTTGTTATATTCGGAGGTAAAGTAACCGTGAAAGTGAGGTTTATAAATAGGTCAGCCATAATAATTGAACGTTCAGGCTGTGTTCTAAAGTGTTGCAGAAACGAATTGTTGATTCTGTGCAGGTCAAAGGCAAGAGGATCAGGGTACATTAACTAAGTCTAGATTTCAAAGCTTTGAAGGATATTTTGTGTAAACTAGATATTCTGACCACAAAGTTTACATATATTTCTGAAATTTATTTTGTGTTTATCTACAACCTTTTTTTTTAAAAGAGTCACTCACTTTAAAAAGAATCCGTAACATAGGGTACAATGTACTGTAATAATATGGAGGAATTATCTGTATTGATTTCTTACAGGTATTTTAACTGTATTTTGAATTTTGCACTGCATTGTGTTGTGTTTTAGGGTTAACAGAAATGTCCGTAAAATTATTTAAGAATGTCCTGGCAGAAAATTACCAGTACATTTTCCATTTTATGTAAAATTCTTTTTGTACATTTATTTTGTTTTTGAGTGAATATTGCAAAAATTATCCACAAATAATAATACACTTACAGTGGGTTTAGAAAAGAATCATAAATCAAAAATAAAATGAAAACTGTCTGTCTTCATTTCAGCAAAGTATGAAATTATTTTAAAGGGGGGTAATTCTTTTCTATACCCACTGTATAATACACTGACAGCCACCAAATACACAGGTGGTAATGAGAAAACCAGATGATGAATCAAAGCTCATTACAAGTACACTGTAAAAAAAAGTCCGTAAAATTTACGGTAAAAAACGGCAGCTGTGGTTGCCGGAAGTTTACCGTAAAAAATACAGTAGCAACGTTTTAGGTTTTACGGTTTTAACTTAAATTTACAGTTAAATACTGTAATTTCATTAACTGATATAATGTTAATATACAAACCTATTGAACAATAAACATTTATTTAACAACATTAGGTGTAACACACAACCCTAATATACAAAACTGATAAGAAAAAACTAAGAAGAAACCGTTATTTCAACAAAAAAACATCAAATTTGAATGTAATGCAGGGAATTCTGGGAATGTCAATTTACGGTTATTCCCTGTAAATTATACGGTCTTTTTCACTTCCAAAAATGGTATACTACCGTAAAATTAATGTCCAATACATGTAATGTCCAATACAGTTTTTCACCGTATATAGTAGGGGAATTTACCGTTAACCATTTAACAGGTTTTTACTGTAGCATTTTTACAATCTTTTACCGTTAAATTCACGGTAATTTTTTACAGTGATAGCTTTTCCACAAGCTGAGGAGGAAAATACTAATATATAAAGGGTGTAATAAACACAAAACACCATCATAGTAACACACACAATGCTAAAATAGTGTGATACACGTGACGTTAATTTAACAACATAAGATGTAACAAAACCCTAATGTACATAACTGAAAAAAACAAAACAATCAATTAACAGGTTTTAACTGTAGTATTTTTACAGTCTTTTACTGTTAAAACTACAAAAATAATTTTGTACAGTATACAGTCTCACCCTTTCTAATGGTCCTGGGTCAGCATAAGCTGCAATGTGGACCAGACTTGATGGTGCAAGTCAAACACTATCATCAACAAGACTGTGTGAAAGAAGAGGGAGTATTTGATACACTTGACCGTGTCTGTGTGCTTTTGAAACTTCTTTAGATGTCTCAAGAGGCAGTGTTGTGATGTTTTATTTTCAATTAGCGCCTATGGTATCTACAACAGTGTGGATTAAAATGACACTTTGAAGCCGACTGTGTACATGGACCCTCTGAAAAGTTCAATGTGCAGACACATCATAAATGCATCTCTTTGGAGATCAGACAGTTGTTTTGGTTTTACAGAAAACAAAGCAGTACCAGACATAATATAGAGAGGGATTTACAGTAGTTTGTGTCTGTCTGGAGGGTATTACAAAAACTAGACATCAAAGTTTTGAAGTTTATCGGAATTGGTTGATTTTTAGTGGTCAGTCACTACGAGACAAATAAACAACAAACTGTTAGATGTGTGGTGGTTGTTTAAACTCTAGACAAAAAAGACAGGTTAAGCTAATTAAATATTTTATTAATTTATAATATAATAAATATTAACTAATAAAAAAAGTTTAAACTAAAAATAAGTTGAACTAAAATCAAAATAAAAAAATATAAAGCTAAATTGAATTAGTGAAAAAATAAAACTAATAAACATGATAGAAGCACATTCAATTACTAAAATTAAAATGACTGAAAAAGTAAAAATGAGTAATAAAGTTAAAATAATTAAGCTAATTAATATGAATGAATACTATAATGGTATGTAAATAATATTAAAATAGCACTGGGAGTATGTGCAAGTATGCCATTATTACAGAAACAAAGGTATAGATTTAAGAAAGAAAGAAGAACCAGTCCTTTCTGTTAAAACTCTTTATTAAGTTGCTCAACAACTAGCAGAACAAATCACTAAAAATTCAAATCAGACATAGATATGAAATATTATGAACTTTATCTAAACTAACAATATATCATGTGTGTCCTGAAATATGTGTGAACTTGCACAACCTGGATCAAAATGGAAACATTTTCAAGGATGAACATTCAAGACATCAACAGAGGCCCACAGTTGGCTCTGTAATGTATTTCTTCAATAGAAATTTAAAAAAGTACAGTGAGTAACACCTCAACATTCAACACATAAAAATACCACTGTATTATTTAAGAAAATATACTACGCTGATCAAGTGTAAGTAGTAATATCAGAGGGAAATCCAGTAAGTATATGCAATACCATTTATATCATAAAATATGATCAGATAAATATATGGTCCAAACACCTTTAATTGTAAAAACACATAAAAACGTGCTGGAAATGTGCTGCAATCATCTCCCTCCTATCTGTCAGTTTCTGGTGCAAATAAAGATTTGCTTTTGTCTATGAACATATGACATTGATGAATGAATATTCAAGTCACATAACTCCCAGTTTTGGGAGTTACTTTGGGCGTAAATGAGCAATTACTGAAGGATGAAGACAATGTGTGGATAGAGAATAACAAATTAGACTCAAATAATTGAAAGCTGAACATTATATAAATTTACATGAATAATCTCTAACATCAATGTCAGTTTAACTTCAGTCATTAGGAACTTACGATCAATAAACAAATAACAGTTTCACTAATGAAATGCTAATGAGGGAGCACGAAATACAATTATGAAGATGTTTTCAAGAAATTCAGGTTACCTGGTTCAGTTTTTTTTTTATGTCTACAGACACAATTCTGTACCTGCTGATTCCCTTTGGAATAGAAAACTTTCATTCTTATTTATCAATAGAAGCACCTCTTTTACCATGTTTTTCACACAAATCCACCATAACACTTAAAGGGGTAGTTCAACCCAAAATTTTAATTCTGTCATTATTTCTTCACCCTCGTTGTTTTTTTTTTGTAGATGACAAAATTAGGAATTTTCAACCACTGTTCAAAGTTGTCAAGACATAAAAAGGAAAAAAAAAATCACTGCAAAAGTGGTTCATATGACATGTGCACTATATTCCAAGTCTTTTGAAGCCACACCATAGTTTTATGTGAGAAACAGACCAAAATAAAGTGGTTATACATTGATAATCAACATAATTTACTCAAATCTGATCCTTCTTTTTTTCATATTTACTCAAATCTGAAATTGCATAGCTTTTACTAAAACAACATTTATTGTCATGTATGTAGTAACCGAACATTTGTGGATTTTGGTAGAACGTAACATGAACTTTTGAAGAGGGCAAGATTTTGGTATATTCCTCACACAAACGTATCACATGGCTTCAGAAGACTTGGAATCAGTGTTGTTATAATTAACTAAAACTATTAAAAATCATTAATTGAAATAAAGCTGAAATAAAACACAGATGGTAAACAAAATAAATAAATAGAAATAAAAAAACTGACAAAATCACATCAAATTACTAAAATGAAAATGAACACTGAAAGTATAAAAATAAAAGCTAATTTAAAATATTAATTTATACTATGATAGTATAAGTAACACTAAAATAAAACGTATCGGAATAGAGCAAACAAGTCATATGGACCACGTTTATGGTGCTTTTTGGAGTATGTAAGCTATTCGGTTATTTGCACAACAAAAACAATGACAGAATTTCCTTTTTTTTTGGTGAACCATCCCTTTAAAACCATCTAAAAAATTCCGCTCTCTCACTCTTCCTCGACCATCATCTCTCTGTCTTGGCCCTGCAGGTTGTTTTTGCCGCTTCCTGTGATTGGTGGAGGGGTGTGGTCACACCTGTCCGTCCTCTCTGAGTCGAGATCCAGCTCCTCGAAGGAAGAAACGCTGGAGGTGTTGTTTCTCTCCACATGGTCAAAGTCCCAGTGTTGATCTCCGTCTCCGTGTGAGTGCGTCCGCGTGGTGGATGGGGCAGGTGAGGTGTCCCGGCTTTCCGAGGGGGGCAGGCGGCTCATGGAACTGCGCTCGCTGTGGGAGTCAGCACCTGTGTGTCACACACCCACACAAACACAAGAGGTGATTCATTTCGCCATAGTGTCACAGCGAGCAAGCAGCACCTCCGCTAATGAAAGCGTCTCCTGTATGGCTAGCATACAAAAACTATAAAATATTTCTGGAACTCCTGCCCTCCTCGTCTCTTAACATCTTCTCATTTTAGAGTAAAAAAGAGACACTCGTTCCCTTCTGTTTAAGCAGCTATTCCAGGTTGTTTCTGCTGTGGTGCTACTTGCTAATTAGCAGTTGTGCGTGTGTTCATGGAAGGGAGATGATGAGTGTTTGGAGAACCGCATGTGTTGGAATTGGAGTGTGTGAACACAACCTTTGCAGATAACTAGATTTCTGCTCGCCTGTTTAAAACTCACTGCCATCATGCTAAGATACTGGCATTCAGTTGCTATGGGTCTTAGTAGTTTTTAGCACACATTATTAGTGGTTGCCCATTTCTCGCGTCCCTCCTTCAATGCACATCTACGCGATTTTTCACCTGTATTATCATCTACTAGGAGAAAACGGTCTGATTGCAAAAAAAGTAATAGTACATGTTCTTCTCAATAAGTCTTATGTGGTAAATCTTTTGACTCCTTTGACCACCTAGCAACCATTCAAAACACCCTAGCAACTGGATAGCAACATGCAGAAAACATCTTAGGAACTGCATAGCAGCATGGTGGCCTCACTTAATATTTTCTTTATTAACATATAATCTAGTTTTTAATTCTTTTTTCATGTATGAAAAAGTAATTTTAAACCAATAATTTAATAATTATTGTGGTCATAACCAATAAATGGCTGATTTTAAAACTATACTATTTTGTCTAAATAAATAAAAAAATAAAATCTAAAAACAATAATTTTGAAATGCTACACCAGTGTTGCTATTGTTAACTAAACATAAAAGCACTAAAATAATTGTCATTAATTAAAATAAAGTTGTAATAATATAAATTATAAATATTACTTAAAAACTTAATTGAAAGTTAGATATCTTGCCTTGGCAACTGGCTGAAATAAAATACATAAACAGAAATTTATATATATATAAAAAAAAACTAATAAAAATGACTAATAAATAAAAAAAACTAATAAAAAGCACATAAAATTACTAAAACAAACTAAAATTATAATATTAACTTGAAATATAAAATTAAAGGCTAATTCAAAATAATAATAAATACAATAATAGTATTGAAATAATTCTAAAGATTTTCTTCAGAAATGTAAAATATAGTTTTTCATTCTTATTTCTGCATTTAAAAAATGCTTTGAAATGTACTAAGTGCACAATAATTATACCGATAATCGGATAATTATAATGATCATTGTGGTCGATGACCAAATGATATTAATCTGATATTAAAATTCTATACTATTTTGTCTAAATAAAAACATAATAATAATTTTAAATGCTACACACAAATTAGCCATTACATTATAAAGTATGAAAAATTAATATTCTGAGATTTACTAAATATTATATTTAACAGTGCTATTTATTTGTGTGTTTTTTAAATTTTTTATATCAAGTGAGGGTTAGATGACAGCAAAGGTAATCTAAATGTAAAACAGTGGAAATGATCAAATGATACATTAAAAAGAATCGGAAATATCAGCCAAATAATTGATATGGTATCGATACAGGTACCATATCTAAACTATGAAACATAATAGTTCCTATTAAAACATAATCTTCTGTATCCCTGTAGGATACACAGGAGTTTTAGACACACACACACACACACAGAGTAAGTGACAGTATGAGAGAAGACAGACAGACTAACAGATTGAGAGAGGTGCCACACAGCCTGAGCTTCACTGAGCGGTGTGTGTTTGTGTGTGTGCTCATGCTGCTAGTGAAGGAGTCCCTGCATGCTCACACTCAGCGTGTCAGAGTGACAAACGTGTCAGGACCGCTCAGGATCTCAGCTTTTTTTCTGCTTATGTCAGTGCTTCTAAGATGAAGGGATGTTTTGTGTGTCTATTAGATGACTGTTCACTTAGTGTTTATCTGCCCCCTGCTCTTCCTGTCAATGTTTTTTTTTTTTTTAAGTAGGGACGGACAGACTAGATAAAGGGAGGATAGTGAGGGTTGACAGGGATGTGTGTGAAAGTGAGAGGAATAAAGATGAAGAGACTGATAGTGTCGGAGAGAGAGAACAAAGTGTCCTTCATATGCCATCAGCATGCAGATGTTGAATGCTTAAAACGGTAACATTTTATAAATTTTGCTTCAAAACTCACAAACTACTACAAATGTGAGTCAGTAGTAATAGTAACACTTATTAACACAATATTTGCATTTAGAAAGACTCGATGAAGAATAGACTCAAAGACTGAATTTGGCTCATCTTTTTAATTGTTTACCACCCGCTTTCTGCAGGAAATAGCATATTTGCAGCATGCAAATAGTGCTGAGTTTTGTGAATATGCACTCTATAATGAGCCTAATTTACATAGAAAGGACAGATGTTTACACTAAAAAATGCATATTAAATGTAGCGCTATTTCTATGAATTTAATGCCTAGTTAAACTGGAATGCAAGTGTTTTCTGAATTTGCTGAATTAAAACAAAAATTTAATTAATGTACTGTATCTCAAACAAGGTTGTAAGAATATTACACTTTAATATTAAAGTAATATATAAAAATGCTACTATTTTTTTAAATTAAAAATAGCTTAAAATTGTTTTCACCTTTTTCATTTTTGTAACAGTGAGGAATAATATGCATTTAAAGCACACATTACAATTAAAGCATACATACAATGTATACTTATATAGTATATTTATAAAAGAATCATTAAAGATTTTAAATATGTTTGATTCTTTTTATTAAAATATATTTATTAACTTCTAAGTCAAGAAGAGTTTTTAGTTGATTACTGTAATGGAATAATGCTGATTACTTCATTAAACACATATTAAAGATTCAATATTATATTTCAATTTAGCCATATACCGGTAATATGTAATTTTTTAACTAGTGATACAGTTAACCTGACCTCACAAAATCTGCTCCCAGAGAGCTAAAACTCTGTCAGAAAATAGGTAGTCATTTGGATTCAGGGGCATCCAAACTGAAAAGAAGTAAAGATCTGGACAATTGCAAAAATGAAAAATGAAATGGAAAAAAAAAAAATCTAATTTGTCTCAAAATTGTTTTTGTTGTTAATTTCTCACAAAGTAAAGCAATCACATGTCTTTCTCTCAAACAAAGAGAGAACCTTAGTGAGTGTATACTTAAGTGCAATCACTCCTTTGTGATTTTGAAATTTAAGGTGTTACAATTGCCCTTGGGTTCCCATATGTGACGACCGGCCTTGCCATTTAAAGCACATTTCAGTGCAATATGCCCCTTTGACAAAACTCATTTTGAAGCTGTTTCGTGAACAGCATCATTCACCAGGGAACAGATGTTGAATGCTTAAATCTGAGCAGCGAGGTCAGCTTCACGCCACTTCAGCAAAACACAGCGATTCCTTCGGCATGACAACTAAAACATCACTTGACAACATCACTTGCGGTATCTGCTTAAATGCGCCGCTGACACAGCGCTGAAACATAACACTAAGTTATTTTTTTTAATTATTGCATTTGAACTCAATCTTCAAAAAGAGATGATACTGCACATTAATAATTAAATGGTCAGTCATTTCTGACTTTACAGCTTCAGTGAAACATCCCTGGCAATTTCAAAACACAGCGCAGACATCTGCTCAGAGACAATCAGAAGTACTTCACAATCAAGACTAGAAAATCTTTTTTTTTTTCTGTTCACATCTGTTCTCTACACTTTGTGTCACTACAGGCACACAGCTGGCAGATTTCACAAAAAAAAGTGTCATTTCTCGGTATACTGTTATGTACACTAATAAATCATAAGCACATGTTTATTTTGGTACCAGAAAGACAGACCGAGAGAACTGACAGAAATAAAAGTGGAGAAAAAAAAAAAAAAAAAATTTAAATGGAAAAAATTTAAATAAAACATCAAAATACAGATAAACAAGATTTCTCTAGATCCAAATAAAGAACACATTATCTAAAGTGTTATAACCAAAATGTCATAACCAATCAAGTTTGATCGACTGTCACTCACAACTGTAGTTCTTTGCAAAAACAACATGGAAAATCTAATTAAATCAGAGTTTCTACTTTGACTACTTTTTTTAATATTGCCATACATTCTGAAATGGTTATCAGTAATGGGCGAGTGACAATTATTAACAGCCTTCCTGTTGTTTAAACAGTAGAACATGGTGCTAGCAACCCTAAAGTCATTGGTTTGATTGCTAGGAAATGCATGAACTGAAAACGTGTAGATTAAATGCAAAATAAATTGCTTTGGATAGTGTCTGCCAAATGCATAAATGGAAATGTTTTAATAATTGTTATATACTGTTTTTTGTCCAAACAACATTGGACCCCATTCACTTTCATTGTATGAGCCAAATAAATAAATAAATGATTGATGACAAATTAATTTTCATTTTTGGGTGAACTATCCCTTTAACTTGCCTAAAATATGTAGAAACCTTAAATAAGATAGTACTTTATTCCTTAAATACTTTAGAAATATATAATAAGTTTATATATAATAAGCCAATACTGAAAACACACATATTAATATTTTACTTATGTTGATAAATACATTTCTAGTGCATTTCAAACATGTTTTCTGATTCACACGAATCAAATTTCATGTTTCTAAAGTTACAAACCAACTAGCAACTAACTTTGCTTCTTAGCAAGTGCTAATTTTGAGGGTCTGCGTGTCCCGCTAGAGGATCAAACGCGCGCTTGAATGATGAGAGGACAGTAGGAAGAAGACATGCTGAATAACATATTGAATTTAGCAGCACATTTGGACCCAAATTTGTCCTTTAATCTTCCATCTTCTCTGCTTTAATCTTCTCCTCTATCATATATTATAGTCATTACAATGTATTTGTTTCAGAGTAACAGGTGGAACTGGCATCACTAGGACTCACACACACACCGTCCAGGACAGCTGGTGTGGACAACACACCCCTCAGGTCACAAACAGCTCACTCGTGTTTCATATTTGCTCGGCGGTACCTCTGGGCTTTGGTCTGACCAGGGCAATACGCCATGGATACACACAGATTGTTTCTCATTATCACTAGAGCAGGTGTAGGTGATCGCACAGTTCAGCCAATATGACACATCCACGTCATAAGGTGATGGTTAATGCCTATTAAAACACTGTGGTGTAGGGCTGCACGATAAATCGAAATGGAATCGAGATCACAATTCGACAGAAGCTGCGATTGTCATGCGTATCTTTCAGTGAAGCACGGTTCTGTGATCAGCAGTAAATCTCCATCCAAAGGCCAGAAGGCGCTCTTGCGCTGAAACTCCAAATACGCCTCGCAGAAGAAACCCAGAAAATGCCTATCGCTGCAGCTGAATAAACAGAAGATTCAGCTGCTTTCATTGATTCAACGTGACTAATAAACACACGACTACGGCAATATATGGTTTATCTGAGTTATTACTATTGTAATTTTCATTAAAATAAAGTATGTTTATAATGCAATGCCTTTATCACTGCTTAAATACTATGAAATATGTTGCGTGCCTTATTCTGTGTAAGAAGCCACATCATCTCACAGAAGGATTTATTTCAAACACTCGACTGACGTTATGAAGTGAGTTTGGAGTAAAAATATGTTATTAAATGTGGTATTTTCACATGCTTTCAGATGGAGCAGCATTTACTTCACAGAGCCGTAGTTCACTGAGAAGCTATGCAAACAGCTGTCATTATCGCGAACGATTTCTTCGATTTCAGAATCGCGCAATAAAATCGTCTGCGATTTTTTTGCGTAACTTGTCAGTGAACTACGGCTATGTGTAGTAAATGCTGCTCCATCTGAAAGCACGTGATGATGATTTACTGCTGATTACAGAACCGGCATTACTATCAAAATGCGCATGACAATCGCATTCGATTAATCGTGCAGCCCTACTGTGGTGCTTAATTTCAACCACTGAAACACACTCGTCGCATTAAATGCAAACTTGTTAAATTGACGATAGGCTACTATAGTGCTCAAACAGTTGGAGAGTACTTGGGTGGTTATCTTGGCTGGGAATCGAAACGTTCATACTAATGTCACTGAAAAACCAAACAAACTTTGTTTAATAGTTTATGTACATCAATTAGACAATCTCTTCTTGTCAAAATGGGTGGTTCGTAGCTAAAATAAGACTTAGTGTGCAGATAATCAAAAGAAAGCCTTGGTTAAACTTTTATTCCTTTAATAAGTGTGCTGTGAGTGATTTTAGATAAGAAAGCATCTGTGAATTGAATAATTACAGTTTACCTGTGATGTCTGTCCTCCCGTCCTCTTCAGGCTCTTTTCCCAATAACCATCTTTGGGCCTCTCTAACTTCGGGAACATAGAAATCATCCTGCCGAGCCAGCGGACCCATATAGTGGATCATTCCCCCTCGGTAGATCTCTAGAAATGGATGTGCGCACAACTTCCTTTCCTAAGAGACAGATAAACAAAAGAATAAAAGGAAAAACAACATTATAGTTTGAACTTCTTAGTCCAACCCCTTCATTTAACAAAAACTCAAAAAGAGAATGATCTAAGCACTTTTCCAGGCTGAAATTTACAAACGTAAAAATAATTTAATACTTTTATTCAGCAAGGATGCGTTAAATTGGTCAAAAGTGAAAGTAAAGACCTTTATAATGTTATAAAAAAATCTATTATAAAAAAAAAAACTGTTATTTTGAAGTTTCTATTAAATCAAAGAATCTTGAAAAAAAATCAAGGTCTCCACAAAAATATTAAGCAGCACAACTGTTTTCAACTTTGATAATAAAATGTTTCTTGAGCAGCAAATCAGCATATTAGAATGATGTCTGAAGGATCATGTGACACTGAAGACTGAAGTAATGATGCTGAAAATTCAGCTTTGCATCACAGGAATAAATTACATTTTAAAATAGTAAACAATCCTTTTACTGTTTTTTAAAAAATCAAATAAATGCAACCTTGGTGCATATAAGACACAGATATATATATATATATATATATTAAATATTTTATTATTACAAATTAAATAATTTGTCTCATATTTCATACAGCCTCTCTTTCATTTCACATAATACAATAATTTCCACTCTAATATTTCATGTGCATTTATATATTTATTTCCGTTCATGCTGGGATTTATTCTGTGATAATTGCTGGCTAGTTGCATATTTTTACTGTACATTATCGCTTACATAAGGGCATTTTGCTCTTACTGTCATCTCAGACCTATGGAAATTGTCTTACCTAAAAATTATAAACTTCCCTAAAGGATAAACATTTGGAAATGCTTGTATTTAAGCATAAAACATACTTGGGGCCCTCAAGGCGATGGGTTAACAGAACATTTAATGTTGCTACATTTCCTCTGGAAGGTCTTACTTTAGGACAGAGAAAGATAGATGAGAAGAGAGGGAGAGCAAATAAAAGGGAAAGTTGAAAAACTAAGAGCACGTTTTCCTAGAGACACTAAGATTAGAGAGCTGTGTCCACCCACTGACAGTTCCTCTTCCTCCTTCCTCTCCTCAGTTTTCTCTCCTGTTACTCACTGATTTTAACACTGAGGCCTGAACCATTGTAATGCCCTCTCTATCTCTTACACATTATTCTGAACACACACTTCTTATCAAAGCTTGCTTCATTTCAACCGATTTTACAGAGCCCCCAACAGAGTCGTTAAACCTCCTATTGAGACAAATCATGTCATGTGATCTTTTCATTAAAATCTTATGAAGGATAAACATTTGGAAATGCTTGTATTTAAGCATAAAACATACTTGGGGCCCTCAAGGCGATGGGTTAACAGAACATTTAATGTTGCTACATTTCCTCTGGAAGAAGGAAACTACTGACTACAGAGAAAGATAGATGAGAAGAGAGGGAGAGCAAATAAAAGGGAAAGTTGAAAAACTAAGAGCACGTTTTCCTAGAGACACTAAGATTAGAGAGCTGTGTCCACCCACTGACACTTCCTCTTCCTCCTTCCTCTCCTCAGTTTTCTCTCCTGTTACTCACTGATTTTAACACTGAGGCCTGAACCATTGTAATGCCCTCTCTATCTCTTACACATTATTCTGAACACACACTTCTTATCAAAGCTTGCTTCATTTCAACCGATTTTACAGAGCCCCCAACAGAGTCGTTAAACCTCCTATTGAGACAAATCATGTCATGTGATCTTTTCATTAAAATCTTATGAGTGCTAAATCACACTAATTGAAACAGCCATTTTTAAAACAAGAATATACAAAAAATAAAAAGAGGCTCTGTTTGGGATGCTCAGGATGAGTATGTTTCTTGTTTTCTGTGGAAGTGTAAATGTGTTAAAGACATCCAAAATGCATAATTTTGATAATTATATTATTTTCAAACACCTGAAAGGCCCATTGCTGCATCCAGACTGCAGACTATGTTTCGCTTTTACTTCAGGCAGGGTGTAGTTAACAGTAGTCAAATGTTACATCAATATTCATTAAGTTGATGAATATTTTAAAGTGAAGTGTTGAATATGCAAATCAGAAACGGTCTCATGTAAGCGACTGAAGCGCAAGAAAACAAGATGAACAATCAGCAGGTTGGACTGAAATTATATTTAAATAAATTAGTTTATTAAAATCACATCAGTACAAGCCAGACAACTGCCCCCTCCCCCCAAAAAGAGACCCCCCCCCGATGTTTAGTTGTCTCCATGTACTCAAACAGTCTGGGACATTAGGGACGTCTCTGTTCTTCAGCTTTTACTGAATATCTCTTCCACCATCCGTTTCTCATAGACAAAGGCTTTCAACATCTGTATGACTCAGTCAGGCTGTTAAATCTAATCTAATTCTGATTGATTTTGGGCTATATTATGACCAGAATCCAACTCTTTCAATTTTGGATATATCAAAAAAACTTATTCTTACCTGATTGACTCTTCATAGCCTTGCCTTTAGCATTAGCATATATTCTGCTCCTACACTCTTAAAAATATAGGTTCTTTATTGGTATTGACATGAAGAACCTTTAACATCCATGGAACCTTTACACTGCGCAAAAGTTTCTTTATATTGAAACAAGGTTCTTTATATAATTAAAGGCAGTGGCTATTTGCTCTAAGTGCAAAGAGCGGTAGATTCTATTTACACTATGTAAAATAGTATGTAAAATTCTTTGCAGTAAGTGTAAATAGTAGATGCTATTTATACTTAGTGCAAATAGTGACAGATATCTGCACCTCAGTATTGTACATTATAAAACAGTATGTAATAATAATGTATTGAGTGTAATGGATCATTTTTATTAAAATTATTAAATGGTTGATGCCTTATTGGGACAATAAAGCCCTCCACACCTACCCTAATCCTACCACTATACCCCATAAACACTTTATTATAAAAAAAAAATACTGAGGCACTTTATTTCCACTTTTCGAATATTTCCTTAATTTTTATTGAAAATAAATGCATTTCCGATTTGATATGTGATGGGAAAAGGGAGAAGAACGAGCTTGGCAAAAGGCATATTCGAACTCGGGTCGATTGCGTCAAAAGTTACCGCTACGCGCCTTACAACCTACGCACTCACAAACAAATTCAAAGTCTGAAAAAAGAAAAGGCCTGATCTGAAACCTTGATCTACCCGCCACATCCCTATTCTACTTCTGACAGATGATTGACGTGCGCTGCCACGAACAAAGCTGGAGGACTGGGGCCGTAAACAGGGAAAGGAGACAGAAGGAAGCTGGGGAATTACGTAACACTATTAATATTCCAATATCATAAACAATGTATCCATGCCATACTGTTTGAGATCCGGTCCCTCAAGACCTGAAAAAGGAAAATGCACAAATGAGCAAATTTAAACAATGTCTGTTGATTCATTGATTCCTACTCTTAGGTCACAAAATTGAGCTGATTGTTTGTGCAAGTAAAAGGAAAAACTTAGCTAATTTATCATTATTTGAAGTTGTGGCTTTTTTTCTGTCTAGTACAACTTAAAATGCTGATGCATAATTCATTAGTGTATTGTCCTGTTCTCTCTGGCGGGATTTTGTAATTGGTTCATAGCTGAACTATTGATTCTAGATAATTAACCAGCTCACAGTCCCATGTGGCACTCTGCAATAAAAAAATAAAGCTGAAGGGCAAGAAGATTCATATTCACCATCATCATCATCAGGTCAATAGTCTCTCATGCCATTCCTTTGCTTTAAATAATCAGCCATTGTTCCTATATTTTACCTACAAATGCGGCCCTAAGTTACCATTTTGTAGAAGCCTAGGTTTGTATTTATCTCCAAAGGCATTTCTAAAACTCCTCAACAAGGAGTTTAACCAAAGCAATCAACCTAAATAAAAACTGTGAAAAAAGGTTCAAGATTGTGTACTTATGAGGGAATGAAAGAGCTACTGATGACATAAAGCAAGTATTTGTAATGCTTTTATAAAAATGTAAACTATCTATTACATATAGATATTAATAGATAGCATTAAAATCTATTTGAATACTAAAAAAAAAAATCTATAACACTATGGAGAACTTGAATATAGCACTTTTACTTTTGGAATCCCACTGTTAAGCTCTAGTGCCGGCAACTCTTCACTGTAGTACAAAGCAAATGTGATTTAAAAAAATAGTTCACTCCAAAAATGAAAATTCAGTCATTAATCACCTCATTCCAAACTTTCTTTCTTCTGTAGAACACAGAAGGTAAATTTTTGAAGAATATTAATATTTGAAGAAGTTACTCTTTTCACTATAGTTAAAGTGAATGAGGACTGAGTCTGTCAAGCTCCAAAATGACACAAAAAAAGGCATAAAAGAGTCATAAAATATTCACAAATGTAATCCATATTAACTATCAAGTAATTTAAACTCATTTCCAATTGATTTTGGCCATTAGCTGGTGGTACATCTGTACATGGCTTAAAAACAACTGCGCTGAATGGCATCTCAAGGTGAGACATGGGATATTTGTGTATAAAATGTATAAAACCAAATTAATGACGCTGGAGAAGGTAGAAATATATAGAAGCAAAAAAGGCTCCATCGCAAACTTCAAGAAGAAAAGAAAACAGATGGGGAGGAAAAGAAGAGGGATGGCTGGGTAAGCCAGAGACGAAGATGAAAAGCTGTCAAAGTTTCTCATCCAAATTCAAGAGGAAAGGTTCTATCTCGCAGTGCTGTTCTTCTCTGTATATCCTTTTAATTAACGTTCCCTCATATAGGTTCAGCCTCGCTAGACTTGCGGGAGATGGAGAGAGAGAAAAGCAGGGCATGGAAATGTCTTCCGCTTTTCTTCTTCTCAACAATAGCAGAGGGTATGATAAGCATGGATTGCCTTTCTACTTTCTACTCGGTGATGCTCCAAGATTAGATTCCAAGCTTTTCTTCGTTCAAAGAATCACAGAAATAACGATCCGGATGGAGTAAGGGAGATAGTCCAATACAAAATGTGTCAAGCGT